TTACAGGAACAGTACAACAACATGGTGGACAAAATCAATGTCATCGATGAAAAGATTCAGTCCATACAGTTGGGTGATTTCATGCAAAATCTACAAGAATCCTTGATCAATTTTACTCAGAATGTTATAACTTTGGACCAATGGAAAACAGCCAGTAGTCAAATTATTAACTCCACACAATACAATCAGTACCAAATCATGCAGCTTAAAGGGGAGATAATTAACACTACCAACATCATCAGTAAATTAAAATGGAGGACGTCGAACCGTCAAGATAAAGTCGATCAGCAGTATCGAGTTCTTCAGATGCACATTATAAACCTTAACAACAGCATGCAGGATCTTCGAGAACATGTGACTTATATCGCCACCATGCAATCATCCAGAAGACCAAGAATGGAAACCAATGGCAACACAAGATACCTGCCTCCGTCAACGGATGTTCTCAGCCGATTGGAGGATTTAGGATTACAGATTACCTACAACGAAAACAGAATCGCCAAAATGGAGACGAGGGTTCTTAATCAAAGTCTTTATGAATGTCAGAAGGCAAACAACGACCTATTTCAAGACTCCAAACTACTTCAACTCGATCATGATATCCGTGAATCCAAAACATCAGTGACCATTATGAAAGGAATGTTAAAAAGATTGGACAGGGCGATATATCGAGTCCACAGCTATGCTAAAAATAGCTCAGATGTCATCAATATGTTACAGTCCAAGTTTTTCTCGTGGGATGTTTATATACCCATAATACAGTTGTTACGACAGGAAGTTAGCAATCTACTATATACACTTCCTATTGGTAAGATTTAATTACAATCAAATCACATAAATTACCATTTTTTAGTAAAATTTCAAATTCTGATGAGACTTAATTTCTAATGAATTATAAAAACTATTTTCGTCTGAAGATTAAAATGCTGTAGGTCATTTTGAGACTAACATATGGTTCAATTTTATTTAAATAATTTGCATGTGAATAGGGGTCTTTAGCAATGGGAGGAAACCGGACCCGGAGAAAACCCACAAGGTTGGAAAGGCGACCCTATTCCTTGTCACATACAAGAAGGGAGTCGAAAACATGCCACTTGGCTCAAAAAGGCAACCCAACCCTCCCACAAACAAATCTTAAATTTATTAGACACTGGACATCACTGGATTTAATAAAAATAATTTTACGATGGAATTTGTAACCATGTCCCTTCAAAATCCAAAATAATGATAAATATTTTATAAAATATTTCAGATTGCAATTCTTACTATAGACGAGGTTATACAGACGATGGTATTTACGTTATATTCCCACCGTCTGCCTTACAGTCCATTAAAATACCGTGTATAATGGACCAAGACGGCGGCTGGACAGTCATACAGCGCAGAATTAACGGAGCTACGAAGTTTGCGAGAAGTTGGTCAGAATATGCTGTTGGATTTGGTAATCCGATGACCGAATTTTGGATTGGAAATGAATTTATACACCTGCTTACATCAAGGAAGAATTACTCGCTACAAATCGAAATGTTGGATATATTTGACAGTTATTGGATAGTTGATTACGATTATTTTAACCTCGCAAGCAAGGAGGACCAGTACCGCCTCAGTGTTGACGGATTTTCAGGGAACGCCACCGATGGAATGGCGTATTCAAACGATATGACTTTTAGCACTCAGGATAAAGACAATGATCTGAGTAGTACCCATTGTGCAAAGTATTATACAGCAGGATGGTGGTACCGTCATTGTCAATATTCAAATCTAAATGGCCGCTTTGACGCCGGGATTGTGTGGTTCAATAAAGATTGGCAAGACTGGATACAGCTCAAGGCCACTGTCATGAAAATTCGGCCACAGATTTCCGATAAATCGTACTCTTGACAATAGTGTAGTTTTGTATAGGTGTATATCATTCAAACTAAATTCTCTAGACAATTCCCTGGACGATTCTCTAGACAATTCCCTAGACAATTCAATGTGCTGTGGTTTTCAGGAATACGACAGTTGCAGTAGTAGGACATAATAGTCATATCAAATGCCAAATTTATTATTAAAATAATTTAAGTTTGTATTTCAATGATATTCGCTTCAGTGGATTTCAAGTGAGAATTTGAATAGTATTCACTTCAGATGATATCATAGGTGTATTTGAATAGTATTCACTTCAGTTGATATTATGTGAGTATTCGAATGATATTCACTTCAGATGACTCCAAGTATTTGAATGGTATTCAATTCAGTGGATTTCAAGTGAGTATCTGAACGATATTCACTTCAGAATGTTATTTGAATATTCTCTAAAGTTCAAATGATTTATTGTACATGGATAATATATGCGACCTGTGAGAGCAAAATGAGTCAGAAGTCCATATGAACATAAAGTATCGAATTAGACTAAAAATATCTGCTTTTTTAATTCTGCCTTATTTGTTAAATTTAAAGTTATTTCAATAATTTGTTCATATGTAAAACAATGACTTGAGACTTCCAATTCAGGGGCCACAATTGATCATTTTACATGATCTGTTTTTTTGGGACCACCAAAAAGTTTTGTTTATACTGTCACTAAGACACATAGACAATTGTTTTAATGTTACCTTGATATCTATGTATCAAACCCTGTGTACTGTTTTATCATTTCAAAATAGTTTAACCATGGGTGGCCACTTGTAACAAAATAAAGATATCCTCTATTCTCACAAAAATTTTATCAACAATTGTCATTCGAGTATAGTTAATTAATGTCCCTTCTATTGTACTTCTTATCTAATGGGGGACAAGTGTTCACGAAAACACAGATAAAATACCGATCTACGGTGGACTTGAAGGATGCTTGACCCCCACTTGATAAAAACTGACCATTGGATATTTATTTATTATTTGACTTTAGTATTAAAACCTCCTTAAAGATAAACCAAGTGCCTGTATACTCTGTTACTGAAGGACATTGTAACAAGTCAATAACAACCCTATTCACAGTTAGTTATAATGTATCTAGAAAATCCAGGAGAACTTTCTCGGCCAACATCCGGATAAACCCTGATTGCTTGGTTAGTAAGGCAGCACCTAACAAAAAGTGCAAACTGATTTCTTATCCAGTTGTTATATCGAATGCCAATTTTACTATTCAAATATTCTAATATTAAGTGCAGAGGTACAAATGCTACTGATTCAATTAAAATAATCCACTTTGGGGCCATGTTTTAAGCATTTTCAAATTTCTAAATAATATAAATTTTTCAATCAATATATTTTCTTTTAATTCATGTTTGTTTATTTTTGAAAATTGGTTAATTTTATTTTCAGTTCAAATAGCCTTGAAGAACTATTTGAATTCAAATATTTGTGAGAACACTTTCAGTGAAAGTTTTATCTATTCAAAATGTTTGTTAAAGAAACAACCCTGATCAATCAGTAGGGGTGTGTTCAGAGTTTTTCATCAATCCAAATACCTCATTATATGCAGACCTCATTGCTATACTCCAGTAGTTTCATGATTTTGTATCTATTATCATTAATGTGATTTTATCAAAACATTTAGTGCTGTCTTCAGCGAAGGGGAAAGCACCAGTACATTCATTATTTCATGGGCGGATTCTATCTGAAATCAGTGTAGGTGCTTTGCATACATTTCATCAAACACCTGTACATTCATTATTTCATGGGTGGGTTCTATCTGAGATTAGTGAAGGTACCGGTCACATGAAATACCATGTATGGTACACTACATAAAACCATTAATAGATAAACAATGTACCAGTAGAAATTCCACAAGCTCAATTAAAGATAACCCTTTGACTTCAGAGAGAGAGAGAGAGAGAGATAGATACGTTAAATTAATGTAGAGGACAAAGGTTTCTGGGTTTGTTTTTATTTGTGTGTCTGATAAAGGGTCCATATTGCGTTTTATAACATTATATTTTTAAAGAACAGTGTATTTTTCTTGTACATAAAAAATATCATATCCTTTTTTGTGTGTTGGATAAAGCCGTCCATATTGTGTTTTATATAATAGCATTTAATTTTACTTGAAAATAGAAAATATTATTTTCTTTTTTCCTGTCTGATAAAGTAGTCCATATTGGGATTTCATATTTTGAAAATACAATGTTTAACTTTACTTGTATATAGTAAACATTATTTCTTTGTTTAGTGCTCTGATTTAGACTTTACTTGTATATAGTAAACATTATTTCTTTGTTTAGTGCTCTGATTTAGACTTTACTTGTATATAGTAAATATTATTTCTTTGTTTAGTGCTCTGATTTAGACTTTACTTGTATATAGTAAATATAATTTCTTTTTTAGTGCTCTGATAAAGAAATCTATATCCTGTTTTATGACAGAGTTTAATTTTACATGTATATAGAAAATAAATAAATAAATTGATTTATAAATAAAACATTTTGTGGTTTTATCTATTAAGGTTTCAAAGCTTGGTCGGACTGTGGGTGATATTACAGTTTGCATAGCTGAACTAAAAAACATTAGCCTATTGTACAACCGACCCTTGGATCTATTCGCTTGATTTAGTAATACTGTTATTGTTTACTTCTTGTAATTTCCAGAGAGAGAGAGATGGGGTTTAATGTCCGCACGACATTTCGGCACTAACATATGGCTTAATTTTATTTCAATAATTCGCTTGTGCGTAGGGGTCTTTAGCAGTGGGATCTGGAGAAAACCCACGAGGTCGGACATGCGGCCCTACTCCTTGTCACATACAAGTGGGGAATCCAAACCATGCCACTTGACTCAATGACAGACCTTTTGACGTAATGCACCCACACTAACCATTCGGTCATCCACACTGGATTGGAGAACCGTCTTCATTAACTCAGTCAGTGCAGAACAGCAAGACGTCAAACCCCATTTCATTTCATGATTGGAGAGTTGTATTTTGCTTTTTATGTCTGTGTGTGTTATATCTTTGTTATCAGGTTTTCTTGTGGGGTTCCATTGCACTAGCTATTAAAAAACTTAAAATAATCCAAACTTACCATAAACGGAACGGCATCAAAATAAATCGCCAGGAACCAGTTGAGTGTGACCGTTGATATTTCTATATCTATGGCATCTAGATGTTTGGCAGTAACAGAGAGTTTTTCAAAAACGATATCTTTGAGCACTTGTTGATCCGCTTGAGCTCCAACTAGATTATGATCAAAATAATTGCTGGAAAAATATCTTTCTGTCGTAGCTACCAAGGTCCTGTTGATAGGAGATAAATAAAATATAACTAAATATTTAGAAAATTGGAATAATGCTAATGATTGTCATATTCTTTTTAAACAATATCTTGCTAATACAGTGAGAGAGAGAGAGAGAGAGAGAGAAATGGGGTTTAACGTCCACTCGACACAAACTAGGTCATTTCTCATTTCGGGACTAACACATGGTTCAATTTTACTTCAATAATTTGCTTGCGCGTAGGGGTCTTTAGCAGTGGGAGGAAACCAGAGGACACAGAGAAAACCTTCGAGGTTGGACAGGTAACCCTACTCCTTGTCACGTCAAACCAGAGAATCGAAACCCCGCCAGTTGAGTCAATGACAGACCTTATGATACAGTGAGCACGTGCTAACAATTCAGCCATCCAACCCCCCTGGCTAATACGAAGTAAAAAATAAAATATGTCTAAAATTGACATTCTGGAAAACTATGTAGGTGTAAGCTCTGCATTTAACACAAACATAATTTTCTTGTGTGTGTAGGATCTTTCAACAGCAAGAGTGAGAAACTGGAGAAAAACACATAAAGATAAGACAGGTGATATTACAGGTGTCATGTTAAAGCCTGGGTTTGAAACCACGACACTTGCATCAGTGACAGACGTTATCATCTAAAACACATATAAAGTTAGCACATGTTTTTACAATAACAGCGAGAAACCAGAAAAAAACACAAAGATAAGACAGGTGACATTACTCTAGGTCATGTAAAAGCTTGGGTTTGAAACCATGACACTTGCATCAGTGACAGACGTTATCATCTATAACACAAATAAGGTCAGCACATGTTTTTACAATAAGGTTCTATATGCCAACATACCAAAAAGCATCTTGGGCATCCATAAATAATAAAGCCATTCCAACTATAAAGTTCATCCCCTGACAGTAACCAATATCAGGACTGTGAATACAGAAAGCTAGTAACACATCTTGTAAATCCATTATCTGAAATATATAACATACAAACATTAATTATGGTCGACTTCGATAGACAATTATCAAATCCATGTATGCACTCTCCATTTTATTAATGTTCAAATTATTGGTTTTATTTTATTGGTGATTTTATGTTAGGAATGTTAAAATTAATTGATGTATTTTAAATATTAATGAAATTTTTTGGTTTCAACAGACTTTAAAATTTTGTATTAACATTTGTAGTAATACATGTATTACTTAAGTACAATTTCATAAAAAAATTACATATAACTACAAAATATACAAATTCATTACTGAATAAATCAGTCAATTATATCTTATTAACTATAGCATTTAGAATGATATGTCTAAATTTCTGACCACAGGTGATGATAAAAATGATTTAATAGTAAACAGAGAGAGAGAATTGGAGGATACCAGAGAAATCTGAGGTATCCTGGGCAATCCTACTGCTGGTCAGGTACAAAAAATGAAATGAAATGGGGTTTAACGTCTAACTCCGACTGGGCTAATAAAGACGGGGTCAGGTACAAGCTTGGGAAAGAAAACGTCCCACTCGAGTCTATGACAAACCTTATGATCTAAATCGCACATCTTATACCATTCAACCATCCTCTCCCATTCCTTTTTTTTAATAAACAATATTTTTATGCAGTCAATCTGAATTTGGAATGGGAAAAGGCTGTGCCTATGTATAAAACCTTCTAATAATAGTAAAAGAGTGTAGACTTACCCCTCTAGAACCTGCTGTAGCAAATTTAACATTACTTGGCATAGTTCTCATCAGATCTAAAGATATCTGTTTTCTGTATCTAGCTGCTAACTGTAAAGTACAACAGATATTTCAATTTTATTTCATGGACATTTTTACACTTCAAAATCAGATATTCCATTAGTAACCATATTCCATATACAGGGCATTGACAAATTATTTTTGCTATATTTTTGTTGTGGTAATCATAAATATTAGCTTATTCAGCATACGATACGCTACACAAACCTCTGGCCAGTTTATTTCGAAATGGATTAAGACCCCTGATTCACTGACAATGGCAACATTAAAAAAAAAAAAAAAAAATAATTGATTAAAGATTATGCTCCATTTACTAAATGCCATGGACAGAAATTACAAAAAGATCGGATTTAAGATCACTTACAGGTGAATCAGGAACCATGTTGCATAAATTTCTGTAATAATGAGGACCTTTCTCTGTGATAACATCTTGAACCCGACTGTGGACTAACTGACGCCATACTTGTTTTCTGTACTGATCTGGTATTCCACCCCTCACTAACTGTTTTAATACTCCTCGCTGAAATAAACAAAAAATATGTGTCCGTAAAAGGTTTGGAATTGTTAAGATAAAAATAAGCAAATTTACGCAATATTAGTTTCAGAAAATTTTGTAATTCTTCATACAAACATAAAATAAAATTACGATTGTCGTTCCAATCCAAATTACTAGATGGTTGTCCTTGCCAGGCACTCAGTAATACACTGCTGGCAAGCAAACCCCAGAATGGAAAATCCACAAGAAAACAGTATTATGTTTATAAAAGAGACATTTTCAAATAGAATGCAAAAAAAAATCATATTTTTGGGGGGCAAAGGCAATGAAAACAAAATTTAATTTAAAATTAAATTAAGATAGGGAATTCAATGAGTAATTTTGATATAAGTTCAAAGTAAGATTTCTACAGTAATCAGGACCATAATTTATATAAACAGGACTTAATTTATGGAATACAATTACAGTTTATTACTGAGCGATGTTTTGACTAAGCTTCTCTACTTTTTAACAAGCATCGATTGCCAAAGACTAGAGAAGCCTAGTTGAAATGACACTCAGTGATTGTATTCAATAGAATTGTGTCCTGTTTATAGAAGTTCAAGTACTAAATGCCAATGTGAAACAATTCATAAAACTTACATCTTTAAAAACTGATTTACTGTTTTGTCTAAGGTACAACATCCATTTTTTCTGATGTTCTTCATATGAACCAGCTTGTGTGATAAAATGTTGACTCAATTCTTGACATAAATAATGTAATAAGAGACCATTATCCTCAAAACTATGTTTAAAACCATAGGCATCAACATGTACTTCTTTATTTGCAAGTCTGAAAAAACAATCAAAATAAACAAAATTTGTTCTGTACAGAAACTTATAACCTCCAGGTAAGTTAATAATGAAAAAAACCCAAACAAATTATAAAAGGTACATGCATTATTAACCGGGCTTAGAATATCCAATAAAAGCTAAAAATAAAACAGTGAATGTCTTAAAAATATGAGCATAAAATTTAAGTTCATTGAATTTTATTTGAATTAGAGTTGTCTCCCTTGACACATTATCAGACATTATAATGTTAATTTTTTATGATATGAACAGCTTGACTTTAATCAAATGGAGTTATTCAACTACATTTATGCACAATCTTAATATACAAATATAGTCCAATATCATAACTTTGCAAATAAATTGATCAGCTTTCATTTTATGACTTAGTGTTCATTTATCTAGAGTTATGTCCCTTGAATAATAAAATGTCAGCTCATACCTTTCATACGTGGGTAAACTTGGATTTAATTTTCTGGCTTCATCTAATAAACTTAAAACACGCTTTTTATGCTAAAATACAAAGGAACAAATACCCTTTAATGCAACAGAAAAGAAAATATTGTAAACGTATAAAAAATATGAATAAAAAAAAATAAAATAAAAAAAAAACATGTTTAAAAAATGTTGAATGTGACAGATTTTCAGTTTCATTTACCAATTCCAGACAAATTTTATATACAATCTATATTTTTTTTCTTCTAAATCTATCATATCTCTTTAAAAAAAACCTGTTCTATGTCCGAGCAAAAATTTAAAAGAACAAAAGGGATATTTACCCTATCACCACCAAATAGAATTAATTCAGCATCGTCCATGCTATCTGTACCAGAGAAGCGAATACTAGACTGTATCAGAGAAACATAATCATATTTCCATTTCTCTATCTCTCCTTCTAATGATGATAAATGTCTGACAAATAAAATGAAAACAATCTTTACTATTCCTTCATAATTTAATAATATTATAAGGTAACATGTACACAGTATTTAAAATATTTATTCATTTTTTAAAGTCCTTCAATTATTCATTTATTGTAAAACATCAACAAATGTTCATGGTTTAAGACCCAAATTGTATTTATTTATCGGTATTGAATCATCCATAAAAAATATATTATTACATATAAGGCCATATCAATTTGAATTTTTGTTCTTTAGGAAAATCTATCAAAATTTTGATTTCTAATTCTTCAGGAAAAGAACTAAATTTAAAAACAAATAATATGGTAGTTGGTTGTTCTTCTCAAAAACTTCTAGTTTCCAATTTTTAGTTTTTAAATACTGACTTAAGTGGTTATTTTTCTATCAAGACCCTAAAGAACTAAAAATTGGACTTCTATTGAAATTGCTCGACTTGTCTCGCTGACGAGTGTATTTTGTTACTTACAGATCTTGATCCGTAAATCTGTTGGCATCAGTACCACGTAATTTGGCCAATCTGCGAACTTCTTCATTTAAAAACCGATTTTGGTTTTGTAGTACCCGTACTCTTTCATGAAGTTCTGAGGAAGCCACAGCTCTAAAAATAAATCAAAAATGCGTTTAATTTAGCTTTTTGTTATGAATAGGTGAAATTCTATGATAGCTGCTTTCTAGACAAAAATTATTTTACAATTTACAAATACAAATATCCTAAAGCCTCTTATGATAAGATAGTACCATAATGAAACTGCTAACTAACTTACTTGACACGTTTTTTACTGTCATAAGGTTGATCATTGGGACTGACTTTACTGAGTTTGTCGTCAAGGTCACTGATAATCTCATCCTTCTGTTTCAAGATCTCATTAAAACACGTCTGTTTGTTCATCACTCGCGCTAATTCACATTTTGTAGCACTGCAAATAAAAGAGAAGAAGCTTTTATCAAAATGAAACACAGCAGGCTCCGAGTTCACAAAGCATTCTCAGACTTAAAAATTTACTCAACTTTCAATCACTGTTTATGAGAAATATCAAAAAGTGAAAATGTCCAGATATTATCTCTCAGTAGTTATTATCTATTTAGACGAGTCATGAATCTATTTGCATTGGTTTTAGGAAATATGTACAATTATCATGGGATGACCATAGAAACATAATGTAAAATATCCCCTCCCCAACTTGTAATTCTTATTTTACATATCCAGCTAAATTGACCAAAATGCCTGTGTCAATAAACTAAAAACAATTTGCCCATTATTGCATTTCAATCTATTGAATATTTCACCCATCTAGCAATACAATAAGCAGAAGTGTTATATGAAAAGATACAGCCTTTCCACAAATTCTAAACCTTGATTTTGAACACATTCCATACTAATCCATTTCAAGTTGAACAAAAACATTCTCGTGACAAAAACAGTAAGTAAACCTTCAATACAGATTTCCATATTCAATATAGATTCTGGCTTATAAACATTGAAAATATCAATACATGGCACATGGCTTTAAAATAAACACACTTAAACATGTTTACTTTATTATAGTATATAAAGCTTCTGATGGTCAATTGAGGGATTTTTAATCCCTTGAAGCTACAAGACTGTGAAAGTTGAATCTCTGAGAGAGAGAAAAAGAAAGAGAGAGAGACAGATAGGGAGAGGGGGGAGGGGGGTAAGTCCACTCAACACAAATTTGGTCATTTAGGGACTAACACATGGTTCAATTTCTTTTCAATAATTCGCTAGCGCGTAGGTGTCTTTGGCGGTGGGAGGAAACCGGAGGACCTGGAGAAAACCAACGAGGTTAGACAGACGACCCTACATCTTGGAAAGGAATATCAGTTCAAGAATGGTTCAGTTCCTTTCAGTATGTACAAAGATCTGATGAATTGAATTTTTCGCTCCATTATTCTCTGCATATAATATAAACAATCCAGTGCCACCTATAAGTGCCTGGTAAAAAGTACATGCCAGAACAATATAGGGAAAGTTGATCTGCTCAGGTGTTCAGAAAATAAACACAGATTTTGAGCTAATGACAACATGCACATTCCCTGTTCCATTGTTAGAATATGAATACAAAAGTACAAAAAAAGAAAAGAAAACAACAATAAACTAGACAAATTTATATAAAAAAATCAAGTGGACTTACTTATTATATCTGTCATAACATGACTTGAATATGTACACCATTGTGTATGATATCGAGAGCAACATGGTAGCGTCATATATTTTAACAAATTCATAGACCTTTATCAAAAAACAATTCCAAAATGCTGCCAAATTAACGAAGTCTGAATTTCTGGAATTTGGCGACAACAACAGTTCCTCAGATGTACAATCTAAAATTGCCTCAAATTAACTCAATAAGGTTAATGTAAAAGAAATAACATGTAGAATTTATAAGAATTGTTCAGGTCTACACACAAGAGATGTACTGTACATCAATGGAAGAAGAAAGTGTAATGACAGCAAAATGACAGGAAAGATATTTATTGAAGTAAGTTTAAGATATGCTCAACTTGAAGTCAAAGCCACCAGTTTGATTGTTTGATTGGAAAAGAGATTAACTTAAAGTCAAAGCTACCCATTTGATTGTTTGATTGGTAAAGAGATTATCAAATAGGTGTTGTGCTTTCCTTAATCTATCTAATCAGGTGCTAATCCAAACAACAGCCATATTATCTATTCCTTTATGACATTTAGGAGCAGAGGTATAACTTTAATAACAACACCAAAGCTTTACGGTTCTACTTGGTTTATTACATGCAATGTTTCAATAACCTTACAGGTATTTTTATTTAGCCCCTTATCCTCGTGTGGTACCACATTCCATAATATTTTCAATTTAAAATATTTTTGATAAAGTGTTTTTAGTCTGTGGTGTTTTGGACTTAAATAAAATTTCAATTTATGATATTAAACACCATTTAATTATTATTGCACTTGCATTTCAACTAAGACTTTACAGACTAGAATACAAAAAACATAACATCCTGGATCAGATAACATATTTTTTATGTAATGATGGTTGTCTATGTTTTTATTTGTATAAATTACAGCCTTCTCCTGTGCCATGAATAAAGTTTAATGTTTCATGAAGCTATATTTTGCTCTTCAATTTTTAGAAAAAATTTTTTATTTAATTTTGATGTGAATGATATTACGATATAAAGTATAGATAAAGAGGCTTGTAGAATTTCATGACATCAGGACATTTTACTTTTGATCAACAGCTAGAATGAAATGTGGGTGTTTTAACGTACTGCTTTTCTGCAGCTAGGATAATGAAGGCGGGCATACATTGTGTAGTCTGCCATGAGAGGATTATTGCTCGGACAGCAGTGTTGCTGCCTACTTTTTGTTGAATTCTCCACGTGTTAACGACACCATCCGACTTAACGTTGTACCTGACTGTCTTAATTTTGTGCTAGACATGGATTACAAATATTAATAAAAAACGTTAAATAATCACAAATCAGTGCTGTCCAAAAAAGACAGACACCAGAGGGATTGTGCCTGAATTTGTGCATGATATTATCTGTGACAGGGGCCTTATTTTAGGCTTAATTACGAGACAAAGATACTTTAAAGGTATTCCATAAAGTTATGTGTGTATTTTTAACCAGTGAGGTATTCCATAAAATTATGATTTGGTTTTATAATTAAGTCTGGTGTTAATCCAAACAACAGCCATATTGTTTATCTTTGATTCATGTATACAGGTATATAATAACAGATCAATATGTTAAAACAACAAGGTAATTAACTCAGGTGCTTAAATTAGATTAATAAAACTGTCAACAGGTATTCCAGCAATCAACAATCTAACACCTCACTCCTCTTTCTCAACAATTTTAAATCCTATTTAACTATTTCTAGATTTTTAATTCCTATTTGACTATTCCTAGGGTTTTTTTTAACTCTTATTTGACTATTTTTTTTACCATTTCTAGTTTTTTAAACCCCTATTTGACTATTTTTTTTTTAACCATTTCTAGTTTTTTAAACCCCTATTTGACTATTTTTTTTAACCATTTCTAGTTTTTTAACTCCTATTTTTGAACAATTTCTAGTTTTTTAACTTCTATCTTTGAACCATTTCTAGTTTTTTTAAACTCCTATTTGACTATTTTTTAACCATTTCTAGTTTTTTAACTCCTATTTTTGAACAATTTCTAGTTTTTTAACTTCTATCTTTGAACCATTTCTAGTTTTTTTAAACTCCTATTTTACTATTTTTGTACCATTTCTAGTTTTTTAACTCCTATTTGACTATATTATATTTGAACCATTTTAACTTTACTGAACCATTTCTTGACTTTTCTAATTATTTTTTAAAGAGACAGAATTATCATTCTCACCAAGACAATAAATGTAATTAATTTTATTTAATATTCAAAATAAATTTAAATTACAAGCACTGGCCTAATCAAAAACACCAATTAGGGTCAGGGCTCAACTGGCTAAGTGAAGGGGATACAAGACCAACTTTGTGTCATGGGGTTTAGATTTTTTAGCGGCTCCTGTCAGATGGCAAAAAATTGTGATGTAACCAGAATATAGACAGCTGCACCACTGACAAGGGGAAACCACCTTGGAAAATCTCAATGAACTCTGTTGGTCAATGCAGGGATCGAACACTCGACCTCCAGAGTCCTACCCACTTAGTCACCGTGCCCCGACCAAAATATATTTATCTGTATATTATTATGATGATTAATCTGTATGACCAATACAATATTCAGTAGAACATGAGTCATAAACATATGTTGATAAGTAAAAACTTCAAATATAGATGTATGTATGTCAAGCTGCCTGTACCAATAAGTACATATTGATTTATACAATATACAGTAGTTTTCATCTTATATAGTTTACCATATATATATCTACCATATTCAAAATATAAAACAGAACATGTCTAAAAAGATAGACCAAAGTTGGGATTTAACAAGCCTGGAAATGAGGTACCTGTCACAGACAATGTCAGGCACAGATTCATCAGGCTTTGTTAGGCCCAAAACCTCTGGTGCCTGTCATTTTGTCAGGCACTGATTTATCTTTTTATTGATATTATAAACACATGTCCGGCACTAAGTTGAAAATGTCGTACTATTTCATTAGTGCCTGACATTTTGTCTGATACATCTAAAACCGTTATTTCCAGGCCTGGATTTCAAGAAATAATCACACATATATATCTGAGAGAGAGAGAGAGAGAGAGTGAGAGAGAGAGAAATGGGGTTTAACGTCCACTCGACACAAACTAGGTCATTTCGGGAATAACATATGGTTTAATTTTATTTCAATAATTCGCTTGCGCGTAGGGGTCTTTAGCAGTGGGAGGAAACTGGAACATATATATCTAATTCAGAACTTGTCTAAAAATATATAGACAAAAATTGGGATTTAAAGAAGCAATCATAGATATATATACTAATGTCCAAAAGAAAGTATACACCGTGCATTTTGTGCTGCATCAACCAAAGTCGTTTTTCCATGGTATACGGTATTAGGGTAGAATGTCAATTTGTTTCACATTTTTATTTTGCTTAGAAATGTTAAGCTTGGACGCAAGAGACAAACTCAGTAATGCTTTATCAAATGTTTTTAATCTAAACAAAACTTAGTCATACTTTTAGTGTGTATACTTTCTTTTGGACGTCAGTATATATTAGTGAATAAACCTGGTTGATTTAGAGTTAAAGTTTTAATTGACAGATTGCCCTGGTCCCAGTTTCACAAAACATTCTCAGACTCAAGTTAAGAATTCGCTCCAATGTGTTCACCTTATTCTAACTAAAATATAACCCTTTATAAAACTTTTGTTGTTTTAATTATAGCCCTTTATAAAACGTTTGTTGTTTTAATGTATCAAATACATTTGTGTTTCTGGATCAAAGATATTTTTCA